AATGCTAACTGTGTTGAAGTGTTCATTTTCTCATGGCACGAAGGTAAAATTTCAGTTGGGCCTTCGATGATATAATCATTGACAGTTGCGAGTCTACTCCCCATAACATCGATGCTACACCAGCTAAACCACAGCGGCAGTTGACACTCTTCACCGCAAATCAATCATGTTCTTTTCCTGTGTGAAAACTCAGCATGAAACATGTGCTGCTCGCACGCATACAACAACACAGAGTAACGGAGTTCTTATGAGAGTGCTTAAAGTGTCCGTTTAACACCTTTTAGATCAATCACTTCTGCACATTCAAAGAGAGGGAAGTTTGCAAACGTGTCGCTTTAGACTAGGTTTATCATTTTAAAAATTTTTTTTTATTGTATGTCGGCTGATGTTTTATGCTTTTTCATTCAAATATTACAAACCAGTTGCATGCCATAGATAAATTAAGACGGATGCTGCTCCAGTTTGTTTTCTAAGAAAAACAACCACTGCAGCACATGCCTCTAACCATAGGTGATCTCTCACAGGTGATAGAAACCAGTTCCCATCCAGTCATGACGGGGAATTCCAGCAGCTTCAAGCTAGACAACACCACCCGGGCCCTGTTCCTGAATGTAAACACCAGCGTTGCCATCTCTGTCATCTACATGATCGTCACTGCCGTTAACCTGACAGGAAATGGCCTCTCCATGTGGCTCCTCATCTTCCGCACCTCCCCCAAGACCCCCTCCATCATCTTCATGATTAATCTCACCCTCACCGACTTGGCCCTCGGCGCCGCGCTGCCTTTTCAGATCGCCTACCAGCTCCAAGGATACCACTGGAAGCTGGGACCCAAGATGTGCAGGTACCCGTTGTAACTGCAGTGCTGATGTTGAAGTATTGATACGGGGTGTCTTCAACAGAAATCCACAGAAATTTGAGAGAACGTGTTGTTTGAACCTGTTGGCCTTGTAATATTTTGTTATTTTCACAGCTACTCAGTGTACATCCACAGTCCACCAGTTGGAATAGTTTGACATTTAGGGAAGAACACTTGTTTGCTGTCTTGCCAAGAATCAATGAGAAGATCGATATCCCTCTTATGTTTGTTCGCTCAATATGATCGGGCGGCAACCTCCGGTTCCGAAAAGTGAAGCCAATGCTGAAGTGCCTTAAACTTGCATTCTCTCTCCTATTGGTTGCAAAAAGAAGTCTGGTTGTATAGAAGTCTATGAGAAAATGACTCTACTTCTCACTTGATTTATTACCTCATTAAACATTGTAAACATGAGTTTATGATCTCAATCTCTAGTTTCAAGTCTTCTTCAATTACAGCATGATGTTCATTTAGTAAATTATGGTCCATTTAGAGTCAAATACACCATAAAAACTGTTTATAAGAAGGTCTCTACCACGGCGTCACTCCTCTGCAGTCCAAATGTGGTCCCTTTTGTTTACTGGTTGCAAAGAAAACCAAGATGGCGATGACCAAAATCCAAGATGGCAACGGCCAAAATGCCAAACTCTAGGCTTTTAAACCGTAGTCCACAAACAAATGGGGGAAGTCACAATGACTATGTCTGCTTCTCATGTACAGCCTATGGCGGTGATTTGTCCAGTCTCCACTGGGTGCCTGGCAGCCTCACTGTGGCGACAAGACTCCTTGATTTCACTACCCCTCACCAACTTGTTAAATACATACAAGAACCAAACAATTCATAACGTGTACATTTGTGAGAAGTGCTGGCTGGTGTATTTTTCTTACTTTTGGACTGGACAGGGCGGGCTAGCTTTTACCATCTGTTTCCAATCTTAATGCTAAGCTAAGCTACCCGACTGCTGCCTGTGGCTTTATATCGATCAGACAAATAGGAGAGTGGTATTGATCTTCTCATCTTTCTTTTTGCTTTAACCAGTGATTGAATAAAACCCTCTTCTTCTATGTATCCACCCACAGCGTCATGACCCTTGTCTTCTACACCAACATGTACTGTTCCATTCTGACCATGATGGCCATCGGAATTGACCGCTACCTGGGCATCGTCAGGCCCATGCGGTTCAGGCAGACCAGGGTTCGGAAGTCCATCGCTGTCCTCAGCTGCCTCCTCATGTGGGGCGTGGTCCTGAGCGTACTGTATCCACTGATGACCACAGACCTGACCTTTGAAATTCAGGAACTCGGGATTACCACATGCTTTGACGTGCTGAAGAAAGACATGCTCCCGAGCCTATCTGCCTGGGCGGCCTTTCTCTTCAGCATGGTGTTCGTCCTCTTCCTCTTCCCTTTCTGTGTCACGACATTCTGCTATGTCAGTGTCATACGCAAACTGGCCAGAGATTCCAAGACAGCCCAGAAAAAGAGAGCCATACGTCTGGCCTTTATCGTCCTCCTGGTGTTCACCGTCTGCTTCGCGCCCAACAACATCCTCCTGTTGACTCACACAGTGCTGAGACTCTTCTACGAGGACTCTATCTACATGGCCTACAAACTGTCTCTATGTTTCAGCTGCCTGAACAGCTGCCTCGATCCGTTCATTTATTACTTTGCTTCCAAGGATTTCAGACATAAACTGAGACAGATAATCAATCTGAAGAGCCTGAATAGCATGGACTCAATGAAGATGGAGCGTAAAGAGAGTTTTTACTCCTCACATTACGCTGTCGAAAGTCCGGAGGGAGAACACAGCAAGATGCCATCCAGAGCATAGAGAGACAGAATGAGAGGAAGAGAGAAAAAAAGAGTAAGAGAGACAAGGGAAGTGAGAGGTGTGGTGTGTCAATCTCTTACAACATCTAAAAATGTCTAAATCATTTAAGTTCACTTTTTTTATGTGCACCACAGAACAAATGAACACGGTAAGCATTGTATTTCCCGAGATAATGACTTATGTGTTATCTTAAAATGTGAAACATTTATTGCAACCAATGTATTTATAATCATGGGTAAATAAATCTGCCACAGGCATCATATTAGTTTTTGTATTCAAAAATATGTAGAGTGTACAAGTGCAAATAAAATGTGAAGATATAAGCCTTCTCAAATGGAAAGTTGTAACGTTTTTAACATGATCTCTGTAAATGCCTTTATGCTGTGTTGAATTGGTTGAATTGTTTTCACTTTGTTTTCTTCCTCTACTACTGTATATTATATGTTGTATAGATGTATAATAAATGCTATTATTGTTGTTATTATTATCATTTTATTATTGTTATTATTAGTACTTGCATACTACTCATATAGAAGGTAAGGTACTACTCTGTGCACGTTGTGGTTCCGCCCACTTTCTGAAACGTCATCGCGTATGCGCCGTCACGTTGGTGGTAGTGTCCTAATGGTCGTGACCAGCTAAGCAAGCAGCTGTGTCAGTTTCCTGACTGGAGCAAGAAATATATGAGCAGGTGAGCGATACCGTACTATCTACAGTAACGTAACAGCCAGACCTTAAAACGTGTTCTTCTTAATGACTTTGTGCATTCAACCGTGTCGCGCTTTTGGAATGACAACGCGCGTATTTGCGTATTAGCCGCTAGCTAACACCAAGTTTACACATTAGGGGAAACTATAGCTAGCAGAGTTGTGAACTATCCATGCATGTCGTAAGTTAAATCTTTTTTGTTAGGATATGCTTGGGACATTATGTATCACGTAACGTTACGTGGTTAACTTTGGCTCCTTCCATAGAAGCCATATATTGATTATGTAGGCACAATAAAGATATTAGTCTAACTTTACATTGTCTGGAAAAGCTGTAACCTGGTTGAAATGGCCAATGTTAACGTTACCCAGCATGCAATTAACGCCACAGTGAGCGGAATTGTCTTCACAGCACAGACAGCAGAATGTTGTCTTTTTATGAATGAATTATTCTAGTATGTGTGTTTGAGAAATATTGGGCTAGGGCTGCAACTAACTACTGCTTTTATAACAGATTAGTCCATAGTGTTTAAAATAATAATATGTTATGCTTGTTTTGTCAAAAACCTAAAATATACAATTGAAAATAATAGAAATCGTATTAAAGCAGCAAAGCCTCACATTTGAGAAGCTGGGACTAGTGAACGTTTGTTATGTGTCCTTAATGAATTACTTAAATGATTCTCAAAATTGATTGTTGTATTGATTGACTGATTCATTAATCAATCACTGTTTGGACCTGACCTCCTGTCCTCCTGACTGTGCATGACTGAACATCTGCAGTGGCCTGACTCGTTATTGCTGCCACCTTACATAGACTAGATCTAGTTCTAAAATGTTCAACTGTGTTTATCACCTTAGGGCGGTTAAACGAGAACACCACCATGGTGCTGAACCCTGTCATTTCCAAGCTCGCTGGTAAACTGGTTGTGCTGGCAAGTGCTTCTCCTCGGAGACTGGAGATTCTCAGCAATGCGGTATGTTGCCCTCTGGTTAAACTCATGGAATGGTATATTAATCCACATTTTATCGTGATCACATGTTGAGCAAATGCCCCAGCAATTAGAGAGCTGTCATGTGATCGTATGCATCATATAAGTTACAGTTACAGATTTTTAAATGCAAAATAATAACACATTTAGGTGCATCTGTAGAACATCTCACCTCTCTTATTTTGTCATATCTGATGATAATGCTGTCAATCATAATGAACATAATCATAATAGGTTCATAGTGTATTTTGAACTCGACTGATGTATTATCGCAGACATATCTGTATTGATGTGTATGTCCCTCGACAGTAACAATCTATTGCTTTATAGACGATGTGTTCAGGGTATTTTGGAAACGGTGTTGCCGTTGGATGTTTTCCACCAGAGAACACTGATCTTTTTTTTAACTGTAAAATATAATAATGATAATAATAATGATACAACATAGTGATTTTCAAATTTCTCAAAGACTCTTTACATGCTGTTGAAAAAACCCCCCAAGTAAAACATGCAGAAAAGCTCTTCAATAGCCTACAGACCAAAACAATGTTCAATATGAAAGAAAGAACTACAATAAAATGGTGTCGTAAAAAAAAAAAAAAGAAACGGGGGAGGACTAAGCTGGGGAACGTAATTCAAGTATTAAGTATCCCACACATTAAACATATCAGTCACAGTTCTTTTTATGTATAAGAGTGAGTCAGACGTCGACCTCGGAAATCCAGCGTGGTTTGGGGTACAATTTTGTGGTTTCTTTTTTCACTCCTTTGCAGGGCTTACGGTTTGAGGTGGTACCATCCTGGTTCAAAGAAACTCTAGACAAGGGACTTTTCAAAGCACCTCATGAGTATGCTGTGGAGACGGCCAAACAGAAGGCCCTGGAGGTGGCCAGGAGGATGCCCTTTGTGAGTTAAGCTCCTTGTTGTATGGCAGCATGTATTAACCCCTCGAATGACTTACTGATAACATATTGTTTCAGAAGCACCTGAAGACTCCAGACATAGTAATCGGAGCAGACACTATTGTGGTGAGAGGAGGAAAGCTTTACAGTATTTTATTGGCTTACTCTCTTTTTCAATCTTTTTTTTTATTATTAACTCTGGCCATTGATTTTTCATTTCCACAGACTGTAGATGGCATGATTCTGGAGAAGCCAGTGGACAAAGATGATGCTTACAGGATGCTGTCAAGGTGAGTGTGTTTTACGTTTGTATGTGAGTTATCATTAGTATGAATGTATCATTACATTTCCCTCTTTCTTTATCTTTCTCTTCCAGCTTGAGCGGTAAAGAGCACAGCGTCTTCACTGGTGTAGCTATCGTCCTCTGCCATGAAAAAGAAAGTAAGTCACAGCTCCACTTTCAGATTGTTTTCTGTCGAAATTTGATGAAAGCACACCCATTAAAACAGTTTAGGTACTTGTTGTATCTTCTATTTCTTAAATGCTCAGCAAGAATATCTGTGAGGCAAAGTTATACATTCTTGCACTGTAGGATTTAATGCCAGTTTCCTAAATATGCTGTATATGGGAGGCCTTTACTGGTCAATTGTAGTGGACAGTAACATTTCATTTTCATAAACCAACCCCCCCCCCCCCCCCCAGACGAAGAAGTGGATTACCAGTTGATTGAGTTCTACGAAGAAACAAAGGTGAAGTTTGCTGATCTCTCCGATGATATGCTGTGGGAGTACATCAATAGCGGTGAACCCATGTGAGTAGGAAACTTTTGAACTTTCAACCGCTCCTGATTTCTCTTTGTGCAGTAACATAACCACGCATTTGCTCAATGGAGGTCATTTGCTGCACGTTGTATTTACGAAGCTGCTGTTTTTTTGGACTTTGGTGCGTGAGTTTAGTGTGAGCTGTGTTTGCCTTGTCCTGTTTGACATGGAATGTGTAAGCAAAAAGTAAAAATACCCTGGCCCGGGTTGGATTGGGTCATCACAGATATAGCCCTGTGTGCGTGTGTGCAACTGTGTGTTAATCTGAGTGTATATGTTTGTGTCTCCGTGTGTGTCAGGGACAAAGCTGGAGGCTATGGTATCCAGGCTCTCGGCGGGATGCTTGTAGAGTACGTCTACGGAGACTTCCTCAATGTTGTGGGTTTCCCCCTTAACCACTTCTGCAAACAGCTGGACCGTATTTACAACCGGTGCACTTCCTCCTCGGACCAACAGACCGAGTCCATCCGGCCGAGCCACAACGGCACTCACGCCACCTCGGCGCTCACTCAGCCCCCGCCCAAACTGTCAGCTCAGTCCAGCCACAGTCCCAGCTCTCCCGCCAAACATAACCCCACGTCCGGCTCCAGACCGAACTCTTCAGCCGCTTCCCTCCATGAGGTTAGTTGAGCACAGGCAGTTACTTTTTTTTACTGTCATTATCTATAAAGTAACGGTCTCCCATTTCTAGGTGGACAGGAACGGCAGTGCAAATGAAGCGGATGGGAGTTGTTGCACGTTGGTAAACAGCCTGTCCAAACACACAGAGGATAGAGAGGCTAATCTCAGAGACTCTGAGAACACATTACCGCTGATGACCAGCAGAGGGCAGGTGATTGAGCTCAATGTGACAGAGCAGGAGGACAGCGAGCCGAAAAAAGAAGACTTGCAGCAAATCGTCGATCTGATGGATGGATTCAAAGCCTCAAAGGTATAATTACAAACTGTGTATTCTTATAATATTAAAGCCCTATGTTTTTTGTAGTGACATGTAACCAAATGATTGTTATTATAAATACATTACTTCCTATACGAAACTGCTCACAACAAGGTCTGTGGATGATCTTGAGTAGATTATCTGAGGAAACTCGCACCAAAACAATGTAGATTGATAAATAGAAGTACAGGTGAGGGGTAAAATATGTGTTTCTGATTTGGGGGTGAACTGTCCCTTTTCAAAGGAAAACATTAGGGAATATACACTTATTCTCTTTTCTTGCTAAGAGTTACATTAAAGATTGATACCACTTTAATACATGTACATTAGCTCAAGTTAAAGGGACAGTTCACCCTAAAAGTCACCAATTAACATGCATCTGATTTGATTAATCTGTACAAAAAAAGTGTAGAAAGGACTAGTTGTGATTTTATCGAGGGTTATGTGCAGGACTATTTATTTATTTATTTTAGCATTTTGCATGTGTTTCTTGATCTGCAAGCACAAGGCACTCTCAAATCACATGCATTCACATTGATAAAATTGCACTTTACTCCCGTATCCATTCCACCTCTCTCTAAATGTTCCAGGCGCTGTTTACCGCATCCAAGATGTGTGTGTTTGACCTGCTGCAAAGCCGACCAGGGCTGGATGCAGCACAGGTGGCCCAGGAGATCAAAGCCTCTGTGAAGGGCACCCAGTGCCTGCTGGAAGCCTGTGTGTCTCTGGGACTGTTGAGGAGCAAAGAGAGACGTGAGTCCGAGCTGGTCTCTTAAAGAGATGGCGTTCAAAACTCAACTTGAAATGAACCTCTTGCATGTTTTGTGGCATCTCTACTCGCAGCGTGCAAGAAGCCGGTGTTCGAGAACACAAATCTGGCCTCTTGCTTTCTGCTGACGGACGCTCCCTGCTCACTGCGCGGCTACATCCAGCATTGTAACGACACCGTGTGGCCTCTCTTCTCCCACCTTGAGAGCGCCGTGTGGGAGGGCGCCAACCAGCGCGAGAAGGCTTTTGGCAAGACATCCACGGATATGTTTCAGGTGATTGAGATAAGTTTAGCCTCAGATGGATTCACGGGGGGGGAAAATAAAAAGGATAATATTTGAAATGTCCTTTGTTTCTATTGAAAGGATACTTTCCACAAACGTCAAGAAGTCCAGCTGAGATTCATGAATGCCATGCACAGCATTGCTAAAGTTACAGGACAAGCTGTAGCAACAGCCTTCGACCTCTCCAGGTTTAAAACTGCCTGCGACCTCGGAGGTAAGGAGAAGAATGGAAAGCTTAAAAAAATTATTTAAAAAGTGTACCAGAGAGTAATAAACCATTCTTTTATTATCTTTTTTTCCCAGGATGCACTGGTGCCATGGCCTATGAGTTTACCAAAGCCCATCCCGGGTTGTCTGTGACAGTGTTTGACTTGCCAGCAGTGGTTGAGATGAGTGAACATTTCCATCCTCTGCACACAGACAACAGGATGTCATTTGTAGGAGGTGTGTGTGTGTGTGTGTGTGTGTGTGTGTGTGTGTGTGTGTGTGTGGAAATACAGTCCGTTCAATGACAGAGAGCTGGCTGCTGCTGTCTCAGATCACAGTAACACCTCCCTCACTCTGACTGTAGCTCATGTCTTTCTCCTCTCTGCGTGAACAGGAGACTTCTTTAAAGACGAGCTGCCCAAAGCAGACTTGTACGTCCTTGCGAGGATTCTCCATGACTGGCCTGATGAGAAAGTGCATATTCTGCTGAGTAAAATCGCAGATGCGTGCTCGCCAGGTAAAATTCTCCAAGTTTCTTTTAATCTTTACTACACGTTGACCGAACAATGCATGCTAACATGTTTGAAACGTAAATGTTTAATATAACAATCTCAGTCATGTGCTAGTGAAACTTTTGAGACTGTAGCAATTTAGTAATTGCCCACAATCTGATTAAAATCATATCTACTGTGAGATCAGCTGCTGTGTAGTTTGTTTTCAGTTAACCACAGTCTCTTAGTTCTCAGTGGAAGTGCTGCTGTATACTGTCAGTGGTGTTTCGTGACGTATAAAACAAGAAGCTGGCAAGTTCAAAAGCCAAGCCAAAATACCAACTTGATGGCATTTTTGTTTCCCCTCTTGATTGTTATTCTTTGCCTTAAGCAAAGGAAGTGGCAAAAACCACCACTGTTGTGGTCTCTAAAGTTGTATACCCGCATACAAATCATGCTCTTCCACCATGCTCCCAGGCTGCGGACTCCTGCTGAGCGAGATCTTCCTGGATGAAGACCGAGGCGGGCCGAGGCGCGGCCTGCTGCAGGCCCTCAGCATGAGCGAGGGGAGCCAGAGGAGCGCGACGGAGTACGGCCTGCTTTTGAAGAGCCACGGGTTCACGACGGTACACGTCAGACACACGGACAGCCTCCTGGATGCTATACTCTGCATCAAAGCGTGACCGACGACAGCCTCGACAACACTGTGTTGAAGGTCTTGTTGAATACTGTAGACCTTTTTTACCAAAATCAGGGACTAAGGTCAGGAATGTTTTCATGAGGAAGTGTGAATCAAGTGAACAAAGAATCAGTTTGTGTTTGAGGTATTGGGACATAAAACAGACAGAGTATATTGTTTTGTACTAGGCATTCTGTAATTTTCCTTTGTCTTGAACAAAGTCTTCTGTTGAGACCACGTTGGACGGACAGACAGCCCACTCTGCCCCTCGGTCTCTGAACATGCTCGCCCAGACTGAGGGCACAGAGAGCCAGTATACACCCTCAGTGCTTTTATTGCCTATAAAATGAATGCTCCTGTTTCTCATTCATTCCTTTGATTTGTGTTCTGGCCTTTTAATCTGTGGTTGAAAAAAATTATAATAATAGTAGGAATACAACAATAGGTATTACCAAAGTTTACTTAAGTAAAATAATGTAAGTATAATCAGGAAAATTAAATATAGCACCAAAAGTAAAAGTACCCATAATGCAGGATGAATAATGTTATTTAAATTGGACGATTATTTCTGATTTAATTAAGTTGTAAGATACAATTTGATTCATCTGGTAAAGCTGGAGCTAATTTGAAAAAGTGTTATACAAATTGATTATTAAAAGCATTATTTTGGAATGATTGCCTATATCTATATTCAAGAAGTCTAGCAGTAGTAACGTCTCTGTGTAGTCAACAACTGCCAAATCAAATAAAGAAAGTACACATCAATTATATTTTAACAAATATTAGTCTCATTTTTCAAATTTAACTGGATGGATTATAAATAATACATAGAAAGACATGAATAAATGTTCTTCTCATTTCAAGTAAAAATAATGGCTGGATTAAAAAATAAATTACGTAACAAAATTCATTTTAGAAAAGTTATTTTCACTGAATTGCTCTGCAGCTTTAAATTCAGTTCATTCAGCGTGAAGTGAAAAAGCCACAATATAATAATTTTCTCATCTACTAAAAAGAGATATTAGTGTTGGAAGAATTCACCTCTATGAGTCTGTCCAGTCAGAGTCTAATGACTGGTCTCTCTGGACATTTTTCTCTTTTGTAAATAGTCCTATGATTTGACTTTCACAACTCTCACCTCAATAGTCCTGCTCTGCTGTCTATATCCTCGTATCTCCCCGTGTGTCACGGTGTGTGTACATCTCACTCAAATCAGGAAACTTGTCAGAATACACAATATATATTTGATTGGATGAGCTGCATCACGTAATGTGATTCACAACGCATTGATCGGTGTTTTTCCTGCACCGCTGAACAAGTGCCGTAAATGCTGGAATAATTCCGCTACATAAAAAATGCCCTTCAAAATAAAATCTTTTTTTTTTTTTTTTTTTCGTTAGGCAAAGGCCCGCGACCCACCAGTTGAGAATCACTGGCCTATACTATGGCATCTACAAGTAAACGTCCAAAGTCTTTCTGTGGTTGGCTTGCAGCTTCCTCGTTCCACACGCGCTCTCGTGCTGGTCATCTGGGTGTCGGCTGTAAACTGGAGGGTTCATCCTGCCTCGTAAATACGTGTGTCACGTCACCATAAATGAATCTGGATGCAATGGGAGAAAGGATCAACAAGTCAAATACAAGCAGCGTCATCGTCCGAGTGGGGGTGTCGTTTTTTTTGTACGCTGGTGTTTTGTCTCTCCCAGTGGACATGACTTCACGTTCACTTCAACTTTCTAGGGCAGACCTGGGCATTGTACAGTCCGTTGGCTGTTGCCGACCAGCCCGCGAGACGTCAATGTGAAATTCGGAATAAAACGTAAATAATTGTAAATCATGCACGGAATACAGCTGCGTTGCTTTTATTGTGATGGCGACTGCTGCTGTTTTTTTTTTTTTATCTCAATGTACGTACGTTAGAACGTTCGTGAATATGTGCGAGCAGCAGCGTCACTGCAATCCCAATAATATCAGTGTCGGCAGCCGGAATCGGCCGGTGTATTTGGCGCGTAATTCATCCCGAGTCTCGGCCCGACGTGTTTCTTCCGGCATGCCGAGTTTACGCCGGAGCAGGGCCACGTCATTATGGCTACCTGGGATGTGTTGCTGATACAGACCGACACGGACATCTGAGGCTTTGCTAGCTATGTTGCTAAAGCAACATGATCATGTTGGTTCTCTCTGGATCGACCTACATAATTATGTGAACAATCATTCTCCGTGATGGAGTTTAACAAATCCAGATCCTCTCTCGCTGACGATCACATGTCACCTCCTTCACATATCACCTCACACATTCAACCTGACTTCAGTGCACTCCTTTACTGAACTGAAAATGAGGACATTGTACTACAAACAATTGTAATAAAAGTACTACTTTTGCAGAAACACGATCCCTGTCAGTGTTTTACTATTATATATGGATATTACATATGCATTTGTTTGGATCATTATTCCTGCTGCAGATGTTTAAGGTGGAGCTCATTTTAACTCCTTTATACTCTGTTCAGTTTGGATAGTTAGGAAGGGTTTGAAAAATTGTAATGTGCAAAGTAACAAAAGCTGTCAGACAAATGTAGTGGAGTAAAAAGTACAATATTTCCCTCTGAGATGTAGTGGAGTGGAAGTACAAAGTTGATTAAAATGGAAATACTCAAGTAAAGTACCTTTAATTTGTACTTAAGTACAGTACTTAAGCAAATAGACTTAGTTACATTCCACCACTGATCATAATGTTTACTCTAACCATTCACAGCTTATCAGAACCTTACAATTTACTTTTTATAAAGAGGTGGAATAATATAGAGCAGGATCCAGTTCAGTCTATTGGTCCGGCCCTCCACAACAGGCCCTGTTTCTCATGTGCCCACCCCTGGTCCAGAGAGATTCAAGTGTTCTGGAAGTGAGAGAGCCCCAATGAACATTACACAAAGAGAGAGAGAGAGCTTAAAGTCTGGTCAAGAATCAAGACGAAGGCTTTACATTCAGTTCAGTTACTGTGTTGTGTCCAAACCACTTAGCACGTCTTCCTCTCAAAGTAACTGGCAGCAGCATGTTAAGCTGGATGATTTTACGTGATGAAAACTCGATGTTCTTCAGTGTACTTGAGTGTAAAGGTCTTTGCAAACCTAGATCTGTATTTTTCATGTAGCCTACGTTTTTTGAAATCCATCATCCGATGAAAAACGTTACGCACAGAAACCTTGCACACCGAGTCCGTTGCATTTTGTTGTTCTCTTTGGTGCGAAAATTTTCGCAATGCGAGTCAAAACTGTATTATTAACAGTGGGTTCAGTGGATTGCACTCGTCCTAAACTGGGCTAGTGAAAGAATGAGAATAGCAAAAAGCTATCGTTTAGCTGCCTAGAGCACAATCACTGCTGTCTAATCTTTCTTACAATCTTTGTTCCCTGACTCAAAGCTGTTCCACAATCACCTGCCATAATCCATCTCTGAATTCCCCGTCACAGTCTGACACCCAGCCACCGTCGGACCACAAGAGCCACGAGTCTGAAATCCAACAATCAGATCAACCAGAGTCCTGATCCACCTACAGGATCTACCTGGACTCCATGGCTCGTGGCCACAGACGTAGCCGTCACGGTTTGATTCCAAAATAACTGTATTAAAAGCGATTTAGCCGGATCACTCACTGCTTTACTTTTTACTGCTAGATTCATATCTGGAAAAACATAACATTGATATGAATGTCCATTATCAATTCCCCAAGCCTTGTTGAACTGTTGTTTATAAAAAATGAAGCTGGAATAGTTATGAAGAAATTGGCAACCGTTTCCATGTTTTATTTTTTCACTTTTAACTTTTCACAGCGAAGACCACTGACAGTTTGTCCAGCATGAGCCACTAGTGTAGGAGCAGGAAGGGTCCCTGCCCGTGTCTCAGTAAAGGAGAGACGTGTCAATCAATCAGCCGACTGGCTTCCTGCAAAATGCCCACCATGCTTTACCAGAACAGGAGGACATACCCTCAGAGGAAAGTTAGAAAAGAAATTATTCTGATCTAAGTTTTCTCTCCTGTGTTTATGACTTAAGAACTGATGGAAAAAAACAATTTTTGCCAGTATAGTTTTTCCTCATTAAAACATTTTGGCAGATGTATTTGTTGTTGTTGGTCATTTTTCAAAGTTGTTTTTTTTCCAAAGTGTGACTGTCCAAGGGCCCCCTCATAATGGTAACATTGATTAAGCACATACTTAATACCTTTGTCCTCTTTGAACTCATTTGAACTATATTTGTTTTCTAAAACTAAAAAAGATGAACAGAAACACATTTCAATTTGAATCATGTTATCACTACTTTCTTTTGTCTCTGCCACCGCTGCGAGGTGCAGAGTGTGCTGTGATTGGTCAGTGGGCGAGCACGTGACTATCGTGAAACGAAACTTAACAGCAGAGGCTGTTGGGTAGTGAATCACATCACGTGATGCAGCTCAGCCAATCATATATGGGCATTCTGACCCGAGTGAGATGTACCACACACCATGACACAGGGAGCTGAGACGAGGAAAGACATTGCAGACCAGTACGTTCAACATTGAAGTTGTGAAAGTAAAATCCTATGATAATCTCTTTGGGTTGCTGCTTGTCATTAAGGAATGATTGCGGATCCCACAGCCAGACCAGCTGAGAACATTATATTTTCCTGAATTTAGGCTTTTGCATTTTCTAAATGCTCTAGCATTATTCATTATTCAAATGAAGATGTGCATAGTTACAGCCTTAAAAATGAATAATAGCTGTGGCGCCATTATGTGGTTATAAGGTGGTATTTCAGCTGCAGGACAGCAGTGAAGGCCTAGGTATAAAATGCACGGCCGCCACTGATTACTGGACATTATATGAGATGGGGTTTTGTAACAGGCCTGAGTGGAGAATTAATTACCGGTTAACCCCTGGGCAGGTCACGTGACTCCCAAATGTGACAGGAGGCCGTGAGTCTAAAGCTAGCTTTATAATTTTAGCAATGGTGGGCCGCCAGGGCCTGCAAGGCCTTCTCTGCTGGCCTAAACACAATCACAAAGTTATAGCTATTTTATAATTTAATCATTTTTCTTAAATTCACTACATGTATTATAATTTATAAAAATATTTTTCCCATTAGCTTATTTTCTCATTGCACAGCTACTGTCTTCCTCTGTTGCTCTGCTTCCAGTGCAGCTTGTTTGAAGTAGAGCTTTTATCCAATCAGATTTCACCTCTGTGTCTCTAGGTAAGAACAGAGGCCCGAGGCCTGCAGACTCACAAGTGAATCCCTTTGCAGTTTAAGTGAATGGGGACGATATTGTTGATTGTCATAGTGTTCAACCAATGTTTTTATAAAGAGAGGAGAGGAGAATTTTATTTATTCAAATAAATGAATAAATAAAATAACTCATCCGAGCACAGAAAAATATCAACTTATCATAAATTAATAATCATCTCTCCCTCCTCCCCCACGGAGCATAAATCCCCCCAACAGCTAAATGCGACTGAAGGCCTTCACATTGTCCATCATAAGTGTATTCCACCCTCAGTCGGCCAAATGGCCAATTTAGCCGTACCGGACAAAAAGTTCACCAAAGTGTGTACCTATTTCGGACCAAAGATGAACAAACCAAGACCCCCCCCCCCCCCCCCCCCACCCCCAAGGCTCTGAAACCACCTTATTAAAAGTGCTGACAGCGAAGAAGATCTTCTTCGATCTGTTTGTTCAGTGTCCTCGC